AAAAAAAAAATTTCTATCTTAAAGACAAAATCTTAACATATATATATTTTTTTACAATCTTTCTATAATCACTGGACTAGGGGGGTCACTCTGTCAGCTAAAGGTGACGTTTTAGAGCCTCTATACTCCAGTTAATCAATTACTAAATTAGTTGATGATTATTTCAATAATCAATTAATCCGATTAATGAAATCAGCCCTAGTTTATTTGTATGTTTAGTCTTTAACCTTTTATTGCCAAATGTATCATATTTAGGTTTTTAATATCTCTAGGTCAGTGTTAATTTCTTTGTCTTAAAAAATTTTATTAAATCAGACTAATATAGTGATCATAAATGTTAATAGTACTAAAACATTCAACATTTAAGTATGCTAATATGTCCACATGACGTTAAATCCATAAAAACCATAGATCTATAGGCATTTTTTTTTCTAAGTCATTCTTTTGTGAAAATTCAATTAAAATGTTCTTTAAATATATATTTTTTTAATATACGATATTAAAAAACATTAGTTGTATTTAAAAACAGTGTTGCCTTCACCAACCCAACCATGGACTGTTCTCCCTGCTGCACTCTGGGAAGAGGCCCCACAGCCTGCGCTGCAGGTCCAGCAGGTTCTGCAACAGCTTTTTCCCCGCTGCCATCAGACTATTGAACTCTAAACTGGGCTCTGCATCACACTTGCAACATCATATTTGCACCACCAACGTGGCTAAACTATTATAATCCTTTTAAATAGGACACTACACAATGTCTGCTACATTTTACATGATATTTATTTTGCACTGCACTGGACTTTTTCATATAAATGCCCTTATGCATCATTATTTTGAACCTCTCAAAACCCGACTCGTTTTTAAAGCATTTACAAATAATAATTCAGAATGCATGAAAATTACACTGGTAAAATGTTTACCAATATAGACATGTTAGACATCGTTGGAAAGCTTAGATTCTCCATAATTCAACCACCTAGTTTATTTTATGGACATAGCGAGCACCAAAGCACAATTAACACAGATATAGCAGCATGTTAAAATGTAAACATGACAAATCAGCCACAACAAGTAAGCATGTCTTTATTACTGCTGTACAAAAAAGTCTTATTATTTTCGAGAATAAAAAAACCCAAAAAACTTTGAGTAATATTTGAAATGATGCAGCTTTGGTGTTTTACTCATCCAATTTTCATGTATATATTCAGAAACTAGAAGGTGTTAGCTTTCAAATAATGTATCACACATGTAATTTGGGATTACAGTTCCTCAGTTATTTGCTTTTCCATTTGGGTATGCAAAATAGGCAAGAATTTCCCAAAATGAGGTGAATATTAAGAGGTTAAACTGGTTTATTTTCTCTGACACTGTTTATATTCTGATCAGTGCTGCATTTTATAAATGGTAATTTCACTGTTTCATTTTCGTAAGCTACTCATTTCACTTTTGTAAGCTTTATGCAACGGAATTTCATGTTGTATACACTCTGTGCATCCAAAATGACAATAAATTTTGTCTATGTCTTTAAATTAGATTTCTTTTTTTATTTATTTATCAAAATAGAGTTTAAGTATCGAAAATGGTATCGAGTATCGAATATTTTCCTTAGTATCGGTATCGAGTTGAAAAGTTTAGTATCGTGACAACCCTAATACCTTAATCATATTCCCTAAAAATCTGTAAAAACCTTTAAAAAACAAGATTTTTGTTGATTTTAACCTACTGGGTGCAAATAAACCTAGACCCCTAATTGATTTACAATATCAAAATGTATATTCTGCCACTGGAAAGGGAGGTTAATTACAATATAGAAGTGCACCTTTTCATTGCAATATTTATGTATGAATGTCATCATTGTTCTTGATATCACAGTTAGAGATTAACAGGATTACAAGGTTCTTCAGATTTAAGGTGGAAACTGTAAATCCCTGTTGATTTACCTTGGTGGCTTTCCTGAGCAGGTAGGCATCAAAGTGAGCTGGAGGCATGAGCAGAGCCAGAGCCACATCCTCCAAATCTGACTTGAGAACCGACTTCAAGGATTTAACCAGATTCTGCAAACAAATTAATAAAAAAAAGGAATCAGTCTCACAAAAAACGCCACAATTGAATTTAATAATCAACCTTTTTTCCTCA